TGACATTAAGAATTCTTTCTCTGTAGATTCTTTAAAGATTGTATTTGAAGTGTGTTCTTTCTTACTAGGTTCTTTTTCATCTTTTATGTGGGGGTTTTGAACACCAGCTGTTTTATGATCAACATAATGATTTGACTTACAAATGATCTTGGAAGTCAATTTAGATACTTCAGCTTTTTCTTCTTTACTACACATTATCCCTAGATTGGCACCTTTTTCCAGCTCCATTTGGCAATTAGATTTGATAAGCAATATGCTCCTTACAGCTTTAATGTTTTCTGAAATATCAGCCAATATTTCTGTTGCACTATGGAAAAAAAGTGAAATGTGGTTTTTTTTTTCATTTATACCCTACCTTTCTACTTTTATAAATACTCAAGACAGCTTGCAACATTCAAAAGAAAAATGCAACAGTTAAATCAACATTAAAATTAGTGGAATTAAAGCTCAAATAACAATTAATAGTTTGATGAACAAGTCATGTCTTTACAATAACTTTTCTTTGTCTATTCTAAATCACCTTCTAATTGGTTTCACTGGGTGACCTTTAGCCCATCCTTCTTTTTGAAAGGAAGAAAAACTTTCCCCTGTCCACCTTCTCCATCCAATACATGATACTATACACTGTGATCATGTACCCATTTAGTTGTCTTTTCTAAGTGTCAGAAACTCAAAGCCCTTCAGGTTCCCTGATCACGTTTATCTGCCCTCTCACTTTTCCAGTTCTATTATGTTCTTTTTCAAATAGGGAACCCAGAACTCAACTCTGTGTTCCAGATATAGACATACCACAGATTTGTATAAGGATATTATAATATTGGCAGTTTTCATCTCAACCCTTTTCCTAATGATCCCTAACGCAGAATTTGTCTTTTTCACAGCTACCATACTCCAAGTTGATATTTCCACTGAACTATCCACTATGACCCCAAGATCCTTCTCTTGGTTAGTTTCAGATGGTTCAGATCTCATCAGTGCATAAGTGAAATTGGGGTGGGGGTTGTCTTAATATGGACCATTTTATGCTAACTTAAACTGAACACCATATGCTATTTATTTGTCCATTCACCCAGTTTAAAACAATGGTTTAAACTATTTCATCCCAGATTTGGCTAATACCTTTATGGGTCTCTAACCATCTCCATCTCAGTCACTTTGGTTTCAGAGGAATGGACTTGCTCACTGAGAGCCAAGAGTTCATACTATCACTAAACTCACAATACTTAGTCTTTAAAGTGGGAGATCACACTAAACTCCCATTCTTGTTTACCTTCCTGTTTGTTGGTCCCAGTTGCAACCTCAAAATTGTCTCTTTTCAAAGAGACCTGGCAAGAACTGAGCTGTTGGCTGAAGATTGTAACTCCAATCACTAGCTAATCACCTGAACAGTTAATCAGTTGCAATTGTAAGCTCCTTCCACTTAGACCAAGTGCTCAGAAAGCAAGCAAATACACCCCATTCAGTTAAAAAGTCAGTCAATTAGTCAAACAAATCTTAAATCCAACTGAGCAGCTCCACAAACTTACTAGCTACCTCAAAAAAAATTCCATTGTTCCTATTCACTCTCCTGTTGTTTGCTCCAGCCATGAGCTCCAACCGCCTCTGTTCTTTCTAAAGAGTACAGACTGGGGGATTGGGAATTTAAGAGAGTTGAGTGGCTGGGAGTACAATAGAATATAGTATGAAACAAGGCCTATAAAGTTTCTGTCCAAGCACAGAAGTCACTACAAATGTAGAAACTCTACACTATTCTTTCAGCTATACCCATTGAAATAATGCAGTTCTTTTACTGCAAGAACATACTGAATTTAATATTAATATGTACAGTACTGATAGATTAAAATAAACAGTATCTAACCTTTGAATATATGTAGATTGGCCAAAAGTGGCAGGAAGGCAATCAGCCAAATCTAGCATCTCCTTGGACAAAGATGTTAATTCTTTTTTAATTTCACTTGGCAGCAACATTCCATCTGTTAAAAAAAGGTGGAGCTTTTTACCAACTACAAATTCACCTGGGTTTTAAATTTTGAAAAGGCCCTTAATTAAGCAATTAAATCAGTTTACTTCTCCTTAAATTTTGATCTGGTTCCCAAAATTCAAAAAATCAATTTCTGGATTGTTAGATGGGATTATACAACTTTGGGCACTTTGGGCGGGGGGAGGGGATTTCTATCATGTTTTCTGCAGATGCTAATTACCTTTGGACTCTATTCACCAACATCTGCTCCATTTATCTATTACTATAGTGATAATAAAGGGGGACGCGGTGGTGCAGCGGCTTAATGACGCCGAAAGTTGCCGGCCAGAAATGGCTGACGCTTCGGCGG